ATTGGATTTAATGCTGACCAGTTAGTAGCACACTCTTACCTCGGATAATTACACTTTAGCACACCATCGTTCAGATTTTCTATTTCTTGACTCTCAAACCTTAGAGTCTTTGATATAGGTGTGGAGTTCTGACTCTGATATTTCTGTGAGATTTTCCAAAGCCCAATTTTCACATCTCCACTTGTCTCTCTACACTGTTCTGTCTTACCTCTTTTTCTCTTCCATCCATTTCATATCTGAGGCTATCTACTGTTCACCTGCAAGGTATTAGAAGGAAATTTGCATCATTAGGTATTCCACATTGGTGAGCTTGTCTTCCTGGCCCTTCCCCTTTAAACTTGACTCCTTTGTGCACCTTTGGAACAATTTCACCTTGGATACTCAGGTGCTTCAGGTCTTGCCAGAAGGTCTTTCCCTTCATTTTCTTAACCTTTCTCCCTTATCCCCACATCTCATTAACCTCTCTCCTCAGGACCCTATTTCTTGCCAGCATCTTTCTGAAGTGGTTCAGACTCTTCTTCTCAAGGATACTATAAAACTTGTCAGTTATCCTTCTCGAGGATTCTGTTACTGGTTGTTTGTAGTTTCCAAGAAGACTGGAGACTGGCATTTGTTATAGATCTTTCCTGTCTTAACCATTTAATTGACTTTCCTCTTTCCACCTTGGAGTCCTTCCTCACACTTCGGAAGGCATTTACTCCAGGTCTTTGGATGACAATGGTGGACATCATGGATGCTTACCTTCACTTCCCTATTTCCTCAACATCCAGACAGTACCTTCTTTTTATCCACAAAGGTTGAATTTAACAATTCTGTGCTTTGCTGTTTGATCTGCCATCTGCACCATACATGTTTTGTCGAGTGGTCAGGGCCTTTGCTCATCTTATTCACTCTGATGGTCTGCAATAACACCATTAAATGGACAATTGGCTGCTATTAGCCCCACCCAATCAAATTTCTCATGAGTACATCCAGTTACTTCTTTAAGAAGCAGTTTGGGTGGGTTGGCTTGTCAAATTGGAAACATCCTTTCTTATTCCAGCCAAATACCTTATCCACTTGGGAGTATTTTCATCTCCTGTCTCTGTCAGATCCAGCCTTCTCCACTTCGATTGCAGCCGATGGAGCTTTTAGTTCTCAAGACCCAATTCTTACAGCATGTAAGGTTCTTTCTCTTTTGTGGACTTGGGCTTCCGTGGAATCTTGCTCGGAATTCCCTGGACAATGTTATCCTACTCCCTCCCTCAATGCATGTTGATTTAGAATAGTGATTCAACAGAGACAACACCGCAACAGGTGTTCCTCTTCCACTCCCCATTTGGAGTTGGATCTCTCTAAGGATGCTTCTGTGATGGATTGGGGAGCGATTATAGATACACGGGAAATCGCAGGTCATTTGTCTTTGGTTGAGTCGGCTATGCACATCCATATGTTGGAGCTTCTAGCCACTCTTCAGACTCTGGATCATTTCCTGCCATTAATATGAGACAAAGTGGTCATGATCCATTCTGACAGTTTGACCATTGTCTCATATATCAATCAACAAGAGAACATCAGTTCAAGTTTGCATTGTTTACAATTGTTAAAACTCCTATTCTGCTGAGCCCATTCACATTGCATACACCTACTTGCATGTCATGTTTTGGGTGCTTTAAATCTTGTCATGGAGTTATTGTCTCATCTCAACAATATTCTCTCCATGGAGTGATATCTTGATCTTCAAGTGTTTCAGTGGTTGTGCAACCAGTGAGGTACTCCTTTTCAGGATGCACATGGCTCCCATCTCAATTCCAAGCTACCCCTTTGTGGTCCCCAATCCCACATCCTTTGGCTTTGGTGGTGGATTCCTTCAGTCAGGATTGGTTCCACCTTTACTTTTATTCCTATCCTTCTCCTTCACAGAGTTTTATCCATTATCCACTCCTTATAGGTCCTCATCACACCTTTTGGGCCTGCTCAACCTTGGTTTTCAGTCCTTACCCTCCCTCAGTCAGCCAGCACCTCTGTTACCACTTGCACTTTACCCCTCCCTACTTCAACAACTTGAGTCACGAGTGTATTATTCCACCATCACCACACTCCGGCTTCACGTGTGGCATTTGTCTGGTCTATTGCGAGATGGTGTGGACTCTCCACGTGAGTACCCTGCTTTGCCATTCAGTCCATTCTTCCTCCTTAATAGTGTATCTCAGGAAATGGCATGTTTTTGCCTGTTGTCTCTGAGACATGGTTATCTTCCTTCCAATCTGAGTATGCTTCATGTCTCTGAATTTTTTTACTTGGCTGTTTGACAATGGTTTTTCTGTATCTACCATTGTTGGTTATGGAGCAGCCTTATCTAATACCTTCCATTTCTCCTATTCTCTTAGTGTATTTTCATTTCCAGTCTTCTCCTTTTATCTCCTTAATCCTACACCCCATCCAGATTGGAACCTCATTTTGGTTCATCAAGCCCTTACCCAACCTCCTAACCTTTGGCTACCTCTTCCTTATACCATTTATCTCTAAAGACTTGTTTTCTGCTTCATTTTGTCAATGGTCATCATCACTTGGATGTTTTTTCCCTCAACGTATCATGTCTCTTTTATCACCATACTTATGTTCTGTTTCTGGGTCATAATTTGTTTCCCTACTTTCCAATTCACTTTTGTATTCTCACTCTGGTGTAGATCATCTTTCATTTCATATTCATGCTCTCTGGTGTTATATTGCCAGCATGGTGTTTTTTCATGGTTCCCGTTCCTGTTTGTTTATCTACTGGAACCCTTCCTCTCACAGTGATATTTCCCCTACTGCCCTTACTGGTTGGGTTCACCAGCTTATGAGATTGGCTTATTCTTCCTTGTCTTCCAATACTCAGTGTTCTTTCCAAGTGGCTTCTCATCAGATCCAGCACCTTACTTGGTGTTATGCATCATAAATATGTCCATCCGAGATCGTAAGACCTCGTAGACTATCATGAGTAAAGTAGTGTCGGGATAGCTGCTCATCTCTCTAATCCCTTCCATATTGCATTCCACCTTTCTACCATCACCTGGATGTCGGGTTCTTGGGTGGTGGGTGTTGGTTGTGTATTAGGTCTGCATGCATGCATGTGCTAGCCTGGGTTTTTAAAATGGAAGCTATTTTCCCTTCTGTTTCCTTATCTTGAGATGAAAATGGTAGGGACCCTTCTCCTACAGCAGAATGAAAGATAAATACCCAATTCCACCAGGTTTTGGACTGAAATTAACCAACTGATTACAGTCTGATGCGTCCTAGCCACTGTGCATCATTTGGCACGTCCAATCGTGTATTGGATGTATTCTTTTTCTGCCTGAATTAGCAAAATATATTTTCACAATGGGTGAAGAATATACCTGGTTGAAATGTAGTGCAGTCTCCCATGGGTGTGTTCTTCTACCAAGAGATGTTACACTCCTTGGATGTTCTTTAGATGCTTTCAGAAAGTTGCTAATCTAAGTACATTTTGCATTGGTCCCTTCGTCATTACAGTGTGGGATTCTAACTATTACATAAGCAGAGGAAGGTATCATAAATTTGTTTTCCTTAACTGTATTTCAGTATTTTTTTTTGGTGTTTAAGAGGTTTGTCAAATTTACCAATATTGTATAGAATTAGGGTAGAGAAAATAACAGATAAAATATAAAATTTTTAATCTTAACATTAAAATCACTTTGCACTCAAACTAGTCAAAAAAATAAGACTTGGTATATTCATGGAAAAATCTTTATTAAAAATACTTCACTAAAAAATCTGGATTTTTGTATGCAAAAGGCGTGTAATGTTTATTGAAAGCTTGCCAATTTTTTTGAAGATACACTTAATATATTAAAAGCTAGTAGTATCAAAACTATAACAAGTACAAAGTGGTCACGTGGTCGGTCAATTCGACCAAGCCTGTGTTGAGAGAATTAATGTAATCTACATATTTATAGTAAAGCTATACTACAGGAAAAGAACAACAAACGTAAGTATTAAACTTCTATTTTATATGTATGTTTTGTGTTATTTATTGTTGTATAAGTAATTAAAATGTAACAATTCAAAACTTATTTTAATAAGAAAAAATAAATGAAAAAGTTTAATAAAAATTAAAATATTTCTCAGGGAAGTTTGCATGCAAGTTGCTCACGAATTTACATAATTAATTTTAAATCATTATGAAACCTAGGTCCTATGAACTAACTCAACTTAATCAACACGAAACAGACTGTCACATTTACCTTAACAAAGCAGGTTTAATCATCAATCTGGCCAAATGCTTACACCTCATTTCACTAACTGATTACAAATTGACCAGTGCACAGTTCAGATCTCTCGATTGCAACTTGTATCAGAATTCATAAATTTCTCTGGATTGTGATTCATTGAGAAAAATGGAATAATCTTTCATGACTGCTCATACTTTATACTCGCATTAAAATTTACGTAAATAGTGCTAAAAACTGATTGCTAAGATTTTAGGAAGGAGAGGCCACTAGGTATGTTACTGAACTGAACATAACAGGTTTCAGGCTAATAATAGGGAAATATTTTCCAAAACTCCATCAAGAAACTAGAGTAATGGAAATATTCCATATAGTGATGGAAATATACATTCTGAAAAGTTTTTATTTTTTTTTATATTGTTATGGTGTGGTGTAATTGCAGACATTCTCAAATTCAAATTATGACATTTCAGGCAGTTATAACAAAGTGTGTTATCATACTGCTTTAAAATTACTTTATATTTCCCATTTATTAATATTTTATGAGTCATAGTTTAGCTACTTGCAAAAGAGTTATATATATGTATGTCAATAATTAGTTGATTCCTAATTTATTTTGTCAATAATACATATATATATTGAAGTATTAATGTTTAGATCTTATTTATTACTTTTAAAACTGTTTATGTAAAATATTGGAGGCAAATAATGATGTTACTGAAGAGTTTGAAGTGAAATATAGAAACTGGTTAAAATATATATATATATATATGTATATACTATCCACAGATTCAAGGGACCCTCTATCAGTACACAAAGACTTTGACAAATGTCATGCCTAAAATATGTAAGCTGCCCTTATATGACTATGGATCTCCTGGTAAGTTTGTAATTAAGTCATTTCATTCAGCATTTTGTTAATTTCATACCTTTTATATCTAAATAATAAAACTTGATATTTATATATATAATAATTATGATTTGTATAAGAAAGTGACAACAGAACTCGGGAAAATTATTTTACTAGTAGCCAGATTATGTAGCATGTTATTACTACACGTGGATGGTTCCAGAATTTCAATTGCAGTCAAATCTTTGCATAAAAACTAAGGTGCATCAGTTTGTATGAATGAAGTCTTTTTGTAGCTTTCTTCAACTAATGGTTATGACAAAGAGAAGAAAAAACTGCACATAAGTATTTACAAAAAATTTAAAAAGAATGACATGTCGACTGTTAAATCAAAGTGATGTGTTGAAATAAGCAAGGGAGGTAAGCAAAAACACAATCATGAATGGTATGGACTCTGAAATGAAAGACAATCCAAATTACTTTTTATGCTAGCAAAAACTTTTTTCAGAAACCTTCTGTTTTTTGAAGGATATCTTAACTATTGTAACGAGAGGTTTTAACTAAAAATCCAAATTTACTGTTTTGTATAGTAGGTCTTTAAGCATGTGCAATTTGTAATTGTCAGAACTTATGTGTTTAAAGAAAACTGTCCATAAGGAAAGAATTTCAGAAAAAGTTATACTCACTTCTTTATCTTATTTGAAAAATTTTTACTTGCTAATATTTAAATACTTTAAGTCACATATAAAGAACTACAAGTAATTAATTAAGTTAATCATGGTTTCCATAGATCTAAAAAACTCGTGAAATTTCATAAATTTTGTTTTAAATTGGAAACATCCTAGAATTAGAAAAAATATCTTCTTCATTTTTATAAATTCTTACAAATAAAAATGGTCCACTTCTAAATTTTTCCAATCATTTTTTTCAATAAAAATTGCTGAGATATTTTCATAGCCAAAATTAATTTACTGTGTTGCGTTTACTATTTACACTGCTATCAATATCTTAAAATTAAAAAAACACACTGACTAACTCAATGAATTTTCTAACAACTTAGTGTTTCTATATGCATATTGTTGCATTTCCAACTACAGCTTCTCAAACATTTTTGAATTTATATGCTCATTGCACACTATTGATTCCAGAGCTCTGTAACCAAAAATACAGACATCTAGATATTTAAATCATAGTTCACAACAATATTTTTAATGAAATTTGTGCTCAAATTATAATACTTTTCTAGGTGTCAAAGGCAAAATTAAGAAATTATTACTTTTGCTAAACCTCTATAAATAAACTTGTCATTCTGATAATAAGAGATAATAAGCAAATGCAAATATATGGGCTTAACTGAAAATATTCATTTAACTCTCTCCGCACAAGGGTTTAGTGAATTATATTCAAAATTTAATTCATCTACTTTGTTATCATGGTATATGAATAAATTTGGCATAAAAATGTAACTAATAATACAAATTGTAATAGTATATAATTTCTAAGTTCTTAGTTTTATGAAGCAATATTTAAAAAAAATCCAAAATTTTCCCTAATTGTGACATTTTCTCTCTAGGTATCCCTTCTTCTATAATTTATTTACCACCCCTTAAAAATATACAAAATTTAACAGAATTTAATCATTCTAATGTCGTAATTGCTCAGGCAAAGCAAAATTTTCATAACTTTCAATCTTGTTTGGTTATAGAGCCATGAAATAGAAAATCAGACCCCTCTTACCACCCCAATCTGTCACATCCTCTCTTTCAGAAATTGCCAGTTGTTCTCTCTGAGGTTTAACTATATTATTTATAAAAAATAAAAAGCAACGGTTTTAATCTATTAAATGAAATATTGTATTATGTTATGTTCTGTACAGAGAATTGTCAACTTCTCTTTCAGTACATGCTATATTCCCATGGGAAACATATTAACTAGCTTGGATGAATTGTGAAAGTTATAGTAGATTGTTGGCTTTTTGCATATTACTATTCTATGTTCTTTGGTGCATTATTTAATTAAATAAAAATATACCATTAATATAAAAAAATAAGGTTAGGTGTCACCAACAGTCACAGCAAAAAAAAAAGAAGACCCAGGTAAGTAATTTATTTCTTGTTTTTCATGTATATTCTTTATTTATTATTATAAAATTAACTAAAATGTAAAAATTGGAAACTTTTTAGGTTATGAAAGGTAAAATAAAGAATGATAAAAAATTTTTCACAAGGTATGCTTTCGAGCAGCTCGTGATTAGCCCATGTAATTTGATAGCGTAGTGTGAGCTGCATGTTTGCTAAGTGATTTACAACTTACAAGGCACAAATATTTGTTAAACATGATTCAAAGGGCAATATAGTTTTATTATAAATAGATGTATACTATTACGAGTTTAAAACTATTTGGGATAAACAAATGTAGTTTTATGTTACGATTTGAAGTCATTCTGAAAAGGAAAAAAAGGTCATTTAGATTGTTGTTTTTTTTAGTAGTTACGTGATATTGACCAACCTTGTAAGAGTTAGGGTAGAGAAAATAACATAAAATATATAGTTTTACTGAAAAACAATGTTTGAAATTTATTTAGGAGGTTTTAGAGATGAAGAAAAGTATTTTTAATCTTAATATGAAAATTACTTTGCACTAGAAGAAGTCAACACTTTGACTCTATACATTGACTGATAAATATTTAGTAAAAATACTTCATTAAAATTTCTGATTTTTTGTCTATAAGTGACTTAATGATTACTGAAAGCTTGTAAAATTTTGTGAAGGTACACAAAAACATAGAAGTTATAGTATGAAAACTATAAAGATCAATTTGGGATCATGAATTGGCCAATTTGACTGAGCCCATAATGAGAGAGTTAGCAAGGTAAAGTGAGGCATAGTCAGTCTGAAATAAGATTTCAACCAAGGCAATATAGTGAGGAAAATAATGTATAATCCACTAAAAGCAACATCCAATTGTCCAAATGTAAGGACAAACACACCGTATTTGCAAATAATAAATATTTTTTATTCTATTTCTGTACAGTTGTGTCTAGTTTGTTTACTTTTTTTTTCATGATCTCAGTTATTCAGAAAAGTCAGAATTATATTATGATAAATAACTTGTTTAAATCTCCCTTTATTCTACAGATCTATTTTGTTGCTCTAAGAAAAACTGGTTTGACCTGAAAATACTACACTGTTTCTGTAATGGTCTTTCTTTGGTCATAATTGCAATTTACATTGTTCAAAATTTAAAAAAATTGAGAGCTCCTTAAAACAATATCTGTGTAATATTACATCAAAGAACGTGTACATAACATTAACTGGTTATAAAATAAATAATTTTTAATTATTCTAAAATGTAAAAATCATTCAATTTTTTTTTTAATCTTGGCACATCTTGGTTGTAAAAGTTAAGGTAAATGATAATAATTAACCTCAACATACTTCAGTGTTATACAAGTGCTTGCTAAATTATTTTCTGTGATGAAAGTATTATTTGAAAATGGTAGCTCTCACTGTTGTTTAGGGAGTTTTTGCATGAAATATTTAATTCTTTAAATGTATTGCTTGTATTGTTTCAAAATTGTGTGTTCTTAATTTGTTGACAGTTGTCCAGTTACCCCCATTCAGTATATATGCCAGCTGGTTAGAGATATAATACAAACATACATGTAGTGTATAGTAAGATGACATTTTTCTAAAACTTTGTAAGTTGAGTTTACTTAATGTATAAAACTGGCCACTGTTTTCATGTTAAAGTTTTTTTTTACTCTTTTTCATTTGCAACTAGCACAGAGAAATAACTTATCACCAATATTAGACCCTAAATACCAAAAATATTACACTTACTTGTTTCTGTCTTCTCTTTGATTATATATTGATAGAATACTTAACACCTTCTGTCACACAGAAAATTATTGTTTTTCATTGTGGCTTTTGTAAAAACTATAATCAGTTTCTGGATGGTGAGTACAGCTTTGTTGTCAGCTCATCATAGTTGTCATATTGAATAGGTTGGTACTACTTGAATTATATGTAATAAATAAAGCATTCTCTGATTACACTGTTTTGGTTTTATATTAATTTACTTCTATGAGTTTTGGGATCTCAATTTTAAGACTTATGATTTCTGTGAATGTTCAATTTGAATTTCTATCAGCAACATTGCTGACTATAGGCTTAATCTTTATGCTCTGGATAAAAAATATACAGAGGCCTACACTGTATACAACAGAACTGTTTGGGGAAAAAATAAAACAAACATTTAGCAATATATCAACATGTTTGTTCTTAGAGGTGGACTAGAGAAATTAAATATAATTCATAATCCTAACATTCTGTGAGAATGATGAAATGTTCTCTTAATCAACAGTGCTCTGGCAGAAAATTAATATTAAGTTGTAGCATTACTCAACAGAGTGTGATTGCTGTGTAGAGCCATGCCATACATAATTTTTTGCATTATTATGTATGTGAAGCATTCTAATTTGTGTTTAACTGCTGTAATATCATTACTTAATTTAATAAACCACTTTATTAATTCTTAATACTTAAATTAAATTTTATTACTATACTGCAATTTGTCAGCAGGACTCTTCTTGACCAATGACTGTTCTTGTTATATTGCAACCGTGTGCATGAAACGTCTGCTTCAACTTGACAGCACTAAAACATCAATTTATTAATAAGGTTGCATTTTCCTATTTCATCTACAAAGAACAGGAAATAAAAAACCAGTAATTCAGCTAACCTATCATGCAACAGAAGTCCTACTAATTGTGGTGACCACACTGGTCTATAGATTTTCAGACATGTCAAATCCTGCACATTTTCACCAGTGCAATTTCTTTGCATGGACAGTATTCAAATAATGGATGCTAGATTTGAGAAAAAAATGCTTTTGACAATTTTTCTTTGGCAACTAAATATTTTTACTTTTTATTATTTTTTTTGTAAGAAAGTCAGTGTACATTTGCTTGAGTAAATTTCACTAATGAGTTTTATCTAATTTTTTTTTTCACATCAGTAATTTTCTCTCTCTCTTTAACTTCAAACAACAGATAGTTTCACCAGTATATTTGGCTTTCCAAATAAGAAAATTGCAAAATATAAACAGCATTATGATCTGTATTCTTTGAAACTTGTAACATGGGTACAAATCATAAATATACAACAATCAAATAAACTCCATGCCTTTTTTTATTGTTTTTATTTTTTTGCAAGCTTTTAGCTATTGTGCAGTGACCATTATCAAGATACAGTTTAATTTGATGGCTGTTGTAGCACTGTTGCTAAAAATATTATGGTCTGACAGTTTTTTGCTTGGGAAAAATTAATTACTTCTAATGTTCTTGGATGAATAATTAGTATAGCAATTTTATGTAATCACAGGTTTAACATTGATAGATCATACAAGAATGTAAATCTTTCTATTAGAAGTAAGTTTTAAATAAAGCTAACAAACTAGGTTATTACTAAAACTTGAGTAGCAGGGACAGATGATAATGTGTGTCATGCCAAAAGGAGGAAGAATGGTTTATTTACTTAAACTTTTTTTTTTCACAATCTGTGTGAATTATATCCTTCTAAAAGCATTTCCATTATTGCTTATTACCCTGTTTGAAAGGTCAGAGATAATACCCTAATCAATTTTGTATGTTAGCTTATTAATGGAAGTGAGGTATCCCTATTGGTTTTGAAATATTGCATTTTTGAGCAAATACTTTTAATCTGTAAAGCTACTGTAATGTATACATTTATGAGCATGATAGGGATGTATGTAAATATTTTTTGTCTTTAGATTTTCTGTAAACTTAAGCAGCTAAATGATACAGTATAATGTAAACAAAGGATTAATTCATTTAACAAATAAAGAATGTGTACTGAGTATAAGTTTTTTAACTGCAGAAGAATTGGTTCTCTAAAGGTGAAATGAAGTCCAACAAGCAGTAAATTAAAGAAACAAAACAAGCTCTATTTGCCTGGTTAAAGTTTATGCCAGTGTGTATTAGTGTGTAAAAAAAACACATCAGTATTAACTAAATTAAGCTTATATGTATAAACAAAAGTTGCACTACAAAAACAAACCGATGCATATAAAAGTCTATAAATGTTAAAATTCTGTGCACAGTGGAAATAAGTATTATCACGCCTTAAAATTAAATCAGACCTAATGGTTTCAGCTAAAGGCATATCAGTGAGAATAAGAAATTACATATCACACAAAATAGCAAAAGGAATTTTAAAGAAACCTAGATCAAAGTTGTTTAGAAATTAACTTTCTGCCTAACAAGAAATAAGTATTTAAATTGAATTTTGATTTTAAATGTGTAGATTTTAGTTTGGCAGTTAATTTACATGCAGAATCTATAGTTTTTTTTTAATATTTGACTTCTGATTACTCCAATTCATACTTGTGAAATTTAACTTTTGGTATAATGTAATTTTTATCTTTAACTAAAATTTTGTGTATGCTCTGTATTGGCATCTGTGAGATGCAAAGTATATACGCATAATGGATTCAAATGTTTCACTTTTATGCCATATTCTTGTTCACTTGGTTGCCTAGCAAAACGTGTTTGGTATTGCAACAAGATGATTGTGTAATTTTGCTTATGGAATAGGTTTCATAGCATAAACTAACATCTATTGGCAGCCATATAAATGCTATCACAGGTAATGCATGCTGCAAAGACATAAAACAGTTTATCTCTTAGCATACACATAAAATTATGTGTATAATATGTATTTTCTTTGCATGATTGATGGATGCAAAAATTTACTGAAGTTAATGATTTTTGTGTATATACTTAGTTAGATGTCTTGTCCTCCATATGACTTAATTCAAAATGTAGGTTGAAGAGTTTTACTACTTCATGTATAAACTATAATGAAAGTATAATTTCAGAATTACAAAAACATACTGGCTGAGTGCTTTATGATATTACAATATGTTATGAAAGGAGTAATTTTTGCTGAGGTTTTATTTCTTCTTCCCCAACTTTAGGGGTACTGGGGTATTACCAGGCCCAGTTAAATGATATTGTCCAATACCCAGATGTTAAAACAGAAATGTTTCAAGGATTCCGGGAAGTGGGCAATGCCATCTTGTTTTGTCTTTTAGTGGAACAAAGCTTGGTAAGTTTTATCTTTAAAACTATAATTATTTAAAAATATGATGTTGATTACACTTTTTGCATAATTGGCAGTAAAATTCATAAAACAAGGAATTCATCATTTTTATCTTGCACATACTGAAGAAGAAATATACATTACAAATTTATCCCTATACAGGAATTTTTTGATATTTGCTAGTTGTTGCCTTTGATGTATTTGAATATAGCCCTATGAATTTAAAATTAAATAGTTATGTAATGATTTATTTTTGTTATTATGGTATTCTTCTGCAACACCAACATTGCATAAACCAGATTCAAGGTACCACCAATCAACAGACTTTCTTTTACAATCATCAGAATGTTAAATTGTGCATCAGACAATGCATTGAGTTATTTGAAGTTCAAAAACTTGTGTAACAAACTTTTCCAGCTAAGTTGAAAAAACCAAGTCCTGAAAAAAAAAGGATTAGCTTTGAGAGAGAGCTTAGACTAAAAAAATAATTACATAAGAAGACGAAAAAACTTTTTTAAATAAAACTTGTATTGATAACAAATTTGTAAATGAAATCCTTAGATAAAACAAATATCTATCTACAACCTATAAGGACAAAATTAAAGATGAGACTACAAAGCAAATAAAACTTTGTCCCCTCAACTGACCCATAGATTTGCTGTAAAAACTCCTTTTACAAGGTTTAATCACAATCCTACAAAGAGGGAGGTCCAAGACAACTTTCTCACTCTCCAGTCCCAAAACATTTTTGAAATTATTTTTGTATGGAATTCTAAGTTTTTCTTTCATTATTATTCTCAACAAGGTATATGCTTCCCAGCTAATTTAAAAGTACTCTCAATATAATGTGTATATCTTCATGAAATTTGGCAATCTTTCAGTTAACATTACAAGTTTTTCACATACAAAAAATAATATATTTTAGTGAAGTATTTTTAATAAAATGAAATAAAGATTTGTCCATGAAAATATTGAGTATTTGTTTTGAATAATCCATGTGTAAAGTAATTTTTATGTTAAAATCAAAAATTAACATACTAATGATTTAAATCTCAAAAAATCCAAACCTGTGTGACACTAATCATAAACTTCCTCATTAAAACAATTATTAAAAGTCCACTTCAGGTAAATGGGAACTTGACGAGTGGGGTGAAGGGGGATGTTTATATCCGCAAACACTAGTTGGGGAAAGTTCCTTTTCTTCAAAACTAAATATCTGTCATGATGCAATGAAATGTATGGAAACTCTAAAGGTCAATTTGGGGTCACAATCTTGGGTGAATCAACATAGCTCATAGCAAGAAAGTTAACAGCCAAAAGCATTAATGGTGAGGCAATCTTGGAAAAGTTGTCAATAAAATAGCAGTAATGTAATGAACCCGAGAAAACTGCTGCTTTCTTTTTCTGTAGTTTGAGGCCAATCATGCTGTGCTTGTATATTAGCAGGATAGGTGGAGATCCCTTCTGTACCCACAATATATTTGAGAAGTTCCACTTACATGCACATGAGTAAACATTGGGTTTCAGTTTCAAGCCTGCATTTTCACCCACTGAGATATCACATGACACACTGTTGAAGGATGCTACTGTCAGCATTCCAGGTTGTCAAATACTCCTATGTTTTTCTACTTATTCCTATATTTTACAGACAGAAATAATTATTTTTTGCTGTATTTTACATATTATATTTGCTATAAATTCCTCTATTTTCTTGTATATACAAAATTGTGTTAGGAAGAAATACAAATAATCAAAGAAAAGTGACATGCGTGTAAACCTTTTACAGAAAATATGTTACAAAATTATATCTTTCAAGACTATTTATATTTCTACACTTTTCCTCAATATAATTCTATTTTTTTCAGGTGTGGTTCCCCTGCCCAGCCCAATCACTAATAGCCTCAGTTGTTGGATATACTTTCTGAATCCATTCTGATTAGTGAAACCATTGTTCTCACATTTTATTGGACTGGGTTTTTTGTTTTTTTTTGTGCAGAAAAACTATTAACATGATTCTGATAATAAATTCATCAGTATGGGAAAATGCAGTATTAAGTACTATTGTGGTAACAACAGAACATTTGTCAGTTTTGGAGTAATGAAAGTTCAGAATATTTATGCCTGGTAAATGTTAACTAGAGCAACCTATCTAGATGTTTTTCAAACAAATGTTGAAGATGTGTTAATATATCCAACAACTGAGCTGTTTTAGAAAATTTTCATGGCAAATTAACATTTTGATATTTATTTCAAGTTAGAGTTTACTAATTGTTAATTAAACCAGGAGACAAAACTAAGTTTAATGAAAGGTAGTTTTCTGAGATTGATGGAAATGGATATGAATTGAAATTGTGATGTTTTAAAGGAAATACCTTGTACCAGGCAAAACATACCATCTGTAAATTTGAAATGAAATGTGACAATAGCAGACTTAAACAAATTTTTCAACATGCATCAAGATCCCATCATAAATAACTGAGTAAATCCCTTCTCTCACCAAATCAGACAAAAACTTACATTCAAAAGTCAACCAACCACTGACACCCAGGAAAGTGCAAATACAGAGTTTGCAGGTGAAAAGCAGGATCTTCTATTCAGATATCTGGAACATTATCTGGAAAAGAGAAATCCACAGTTCTGACTTACACTGTACCAAGAAAGGATATCTTGTGTTTGGAAATGATCTGAATAATAAAATGTGCATTGTCCAACGTAAGTTTCAAAACTAGTGGTGGTATTGCTGAAACTTTCAAAACAATGTTCAAATACCCAATAGTTGACAGTTTCAGTATGAACAGAACAAAGTTATTTTACCTACTATCATTTGGTTTGGGTCCAGCTTTCACTTCTGCTTTGATATATGATGTACAAAATTCAAATAACTGTTTTTCATTGCCATATGATGAAACAAATGAGGTACAGGTAAAGAAACAAATGGATCTCTTGATAAGGTACTGGACCCCAACCCATGATAAAGTCTGGTGCAGATATTACAAGTTATTGTTCTTCTCTCATACAAATGGATTCTGTTTCCAAGCATATGGTGTAAACATTACAGGATGGTTTCATAACATTGGAATCCATAGTGGCATTTCTAAGCTAATCAAGGCTGCTGATTCAGTGGAATGGTTTTGTTGATGTAGATACATGTAAATCTTCATACAATGTGCAATGCCTTCAGCAAGGGCATAACAGAATATGGTCAGGGTACAGAACAGTTAGTAATAGATTTATTTGGACTATTCAAGATCTAATCTGGAAGAAAGGAGGATTACAAAGGCATAGAAATAGATCTTGATCTTCCAGAGTAAGTATTTATAAAACACACGCACAAGTTCGTTAGCTGAGCATTGGACCAGCCTTAAGGTGCAACATTGAGCAGTGGACAAGTATAAGGGAATATGTGTCAAAATTAAAGAGAGACCAAAAGACGATGCCAAAGAGTATTGTTATGACAACGGAAGTCACGTGATGCTAGTAACACGTCATTGACTTCTAGAAATATCCTGTTCTTTCATGAATGCTCTAGCGTTTACTAGATATGTGTTAGTCTTGTATATATATTAGATGGTCACAACGTGACGGAACAGTGTGTAATTGAACTGAGTATTGTTGAGTCGAGCACGTGAGACATTCGTTGAGAATTATAGCGTTTGTTACAGCGCGACTATTGAAATTAAGTGTATTGCAAAGTTATATTCAGAAAGAATAAACCAGTTTTATTTAAGAAAGGACTTGTGTCGCTAAAGTTTCGTCGGAACAGATTTCTGGAAAATTAACTAACGATCGGAGACGTAGCAAATTGGTGTCAGAGAGT